ATGGCCACCAACAGGCCCGACACTCTGGATCCAGCGCTGATGAGGCCGGGGAGACTGGACAGAAAGATCGAATTTAGCCTGCCTGACCTAGAGGTGAGCCGGGCATCCCACTGCAGGGCAGCGGGGCTGCCTGTATGATGTTCCCCACGCTAACAGTTGTCACCGCTCTCCTTGTTAGGGTCGGACTCACATCTTTAAGATTCACGCGCGTTCGATGAGCGTTGAAAGGGACATCAGATTTGAACTGCTGGCTCGACTCTGTCCAAACAGCACCGGTGAGTGGAAAGGTGTGGCTTGTGTGTCGGTCGGTCGGGTGGGGCTGTTTCCACAAAGCTCAGTTACCTTTCTTGTGGTCTGAAAGGGGCCGAGATCAGAAGTGTCTGCACAGAGGCTGGCATGTTTGCCATCAGAGCGCGGCGAAAGATCGCGACTGAGAAGGACTTCTTGGAGGCTGTAAATAAGGTCATCAAATCTTACGCCAAATTCAGCGCTACTCCCCGGTACATGACGTACAACTGAGCCCCGAAGGCTTTCGGACGGCAACACGTGGCATCACAATTCCAGCCCCACACAGACTTGGTAATGACGACTTGCTAACAAAGAAATGGCTTCAAATTGTATGCTTTCCACATCTCTCTTCTCTGTAGTATAATAAAAAGTGGTGCCCAGTATCACCGGGCAGAAAAGCTGATTACAACATGTGCTTTTTGGCCCGTGACTGTGAAGAGGGTCAGATGTGTCATCTCGTTGTGTTTATCCACTGCCCAGTGAGCACAGTCCCGGGCATCTTGATCTAAGGGAAGTGCACGTTCCGACCTAATTGACTCAGCATGACGGTAGGGCATCAAGGCCAAGTTTGTCTGAGATGGACCCTACCATTAAAACAGCTCATGTAGGTCCATGGAGATAAACGTGTAGCAGTTATATTTCCCTACCGTCTGTGTCGAATGCTGTTTTGGCTTAACCCTTTTGAAAGTGGAGAAGCATATGGTGGACTAGATTTTGCTTTGCTTCTGATTTCAAGTGAACCCAGAATAGATGAGTGTGGTGAATTGTGTAAAATGTGTGCCCACATGCCAGTTTCCCTTAGAGGATCCAGACCAGGCCACCTGTGGAGGGGTTGAGATTCTTTGCCTAAGTTCTGCTTTGGTCTGCAGTGAAGTGTATAAAGACTGTTAGAACTTGAACATTATCTGGTGTAGCCATCACCCGATCCCCAGTCACCCCTTCACCAAAGCAGCTTACCCAGACGGTAACAAATATTTATATTGAGGTTCAATACTCATAAGCTGCAAAATAGTCAAAGTGGCATAGAAAAGGATGAGTTGTATTGAAAAGTCTTTAGAGAAAGTAAAGCCCTTCATTCATAACCTCTAACCAGTGTTTTGCTTTTTCGTGAACTTAATTTTTTCAAACTTTGGTCTAGTCTTGATATGAAATGAAGCGCTTCTTTCTAGGTACGAAATGACTGCATTGTGAGTATTTGGAAGACACTCCAGCCACCTGCCCAGACTGGGGTGCTGAGCTCACCAAGGCTCACTGTAGTCAGCCTGTGAGCGACCCTGACATTGGGGCTGCATTAACATTATGATTGGAAAGCCAGATATACAGAGAGGAGAGACAGAGAGAGGAAGATCTTCTGGTCCGAAGACAGAACCAGATATACAGAGAGACCAGATATACAGAGAGGAGGAGAGACAGAGGAAGACTCACTCGGGAGTGAGTTGGGAGTGCAACTCACTCCCCGAGTGAGTGCAACAACCAATGCAATGCTATGCCAAAGCCAGGAACTTCTTCCGGGCATCCCACACGGGTGCAGGGTCCTTTGGGCCAATCCTCCACTGTATTCCCAGGCCACAGGCAGAGAGCTGGATGGGAAGTGGAGCTGCCGGGATTAGAACCGGCGCCCATATAGGATCCCAGCGCGTTCAAGGCAAGGACTTTAGCCGCTAGGCCACGGCGCCGCCGGGCCCTTGCCTCCTGTTTTTGAAGGGAGTTAACGTATGTTTAGCTAGAGGGAGTTACAGGTGGTCCTTGGCTTAGAAGGGAGTTAACGTATGTTTAGCTAGAGGGAGTTACAGGTGGTCCTTGGCTTAGGATGGTTTGAGTTTCCTCAGGTTTGGATGATGGTGTTAGATTGTCTGGGCTTGCTGCCTTCCCTCCACTAGAGGGCAGTCATTTCCTCAGAATGTACAGTTGGAGTCGACACCTCCTCTCTCTGCTAAATAGTTAGGTCTACAGGATCAGATCCCACCCCGACTTGAAAGTGAGCTGCTCCCCTGCCACCTAGGGCTGGAGGAAGAGCCACACCCTTTACTGTCCCTGCAGGGAAGACTGGCGTTTGGGACCCCGTTTCTGGCCACCATACCTCGTCCAGAGCCCACACCTGGCATGCTTTGGAGTCTTCCTGGGCGTTGGGTCACAGTGGCTTTTCATAGCCACCTGATCCCTCCAGGAAGCAGACATGAGCCACTGTTTTAGCGCAGCAGATTTGTGGGATGTTGGGGAAGCTGGGTTTTCTCAGACTGCCAGTCCCTGTCTCACTGAGGAGTACAGCCACCATGACAGGGCAACGGGAATCGAATTTGGCTCCGGCCTGAAGGGAATATACTGGCAGCTACTAAACCCAGAAAGAACAGGTGACTAGGAGACAAAGATAAGGTCAGGCAGTGTTCCACTGTATGAAATAAATGAGTTAAAGCATGCTGGCCTATTTACACATGGATGAAATTTTATTTTGAAATGTCAGAAGCAAGCTAAAACAACAAAAAAACCATTTTCTGTCTTCAGTAAGACTTGAGTGCCGTTTATGTACATGACTGAGTTTTATCCCAAACAGGTTACAAAAGAACAGTTAAACACACGTGTGTTTCCGGAGTGCTATTAATCTACACCGTTAGTATTGAACACGTACCATACAGAAGGCATTTGCTGGAGACGTGTGTAAAGAATGTGCAATGATGAATGTTTAAACACTATTTATAAAAGCCTTAAATTCTACTTGAGCAATTGGAATGATGTGAATCCCTTTAAAGAAGTTTCCAGTGCAAGTTGAAGTTGTACAAAGACCCGCTCTTGGAGGAGGCCGTCCGTGGCATGGTGCAGACGTACCTGACTGCGCAGGCGCCATCCACGTGCAAGTCTAATTTTACTCTGAATTAACTAAGTCGGTAGTCTATCTAAAGTAGAACCCTTCCTCCTAAGTCAAGTCATGAGATATGTGATAGGAGTTTACCCAAACTGTGGGGCTCGTTGCAAGCAGGCCATGCTAACCTACTTCTGCCAGGACTGCTGCTTCGCTTCTGTCATGGTGATGTCTGCATGAAAATGCAGACACATACTCCCCGCTGGCAGAAACTCTTGAGAAGCCTTTGCACAGGTTGGCTGGGGCCTAGGACCCTGCTAGACAGACAGCAGAGGAAAGCATGAGAACTGCTGGTGACAAATTGAGTTCAGATCCTCTGGACCCCCATCTTTGAACATCCCCTGTTTCTGCATAGTTAGAATTAACTCTTGTGGACTTCTAAGGAAGATACCGAGTCCTACCTGAGGTTAAGTTCTTAAACATGGTATTTAGCAGCTACATCAAAAGCTTCTAGGGATTCCTACTGGCCATGGTCACAGCAGTGCGGGCAATAAGAACAGAATGGAGCGCATGAAAACCACACACAGCCACAAGACCACAATTGTGTCAAAGAGGAGACCGTTCAAACCCTAGTTGGTCACTGTTTGACTACATCCTTAATCTGAAAGCGATAGTGGAAATAACCAAGCTCTCAACTTCCTCTGTCTTTTGAGGATAACACTTAAAAATGCTGACTGAGCTGTGGCTGGTCATTGATGCTCACGGGTTAATGGAAAAGTGGACATTCACTCACCGTCAGAGGAACACGTGGAGAACCAGGCAGAGAAGCTGGTTGGTTGTTCAGCTGCATGCCGACCAACGGTCTGCCTTAGCGCGGCGAGTGGCAGGGCAGCTGGACAACGGCGTGTCTTCGGATGTGAGACTTTTACGTCTAACACGCATCCACAAAGACTTTGACTAGCAGGGGTAGCTTGCTGGTGGCTCAGGGAATGAAAGAACCAGCTAAATACTGCCACAGGGATGGACGAGACGAAACGTCAAGTCGACGGCCCCAGCCTCCTTAACAAGCTGAGGCCGTGGCAAAAAGAATCCAGGAACAGAGAACTGTGTTAGAGTACTTCCTGGGACAGTCGCAGCGTGAGCTCAGGGGAGAGAAGGGTTTGGACGGGCTGACTGCAAATGTGGGAACACTTGGGGAAATTTCAATATTGTATAGGGTAAATATGTCCTGGAATAAGAAAAATAGATTGTTGACCACAATTAATGGGTTCACAAAATGCTACACAGCTATGTCTTTGGTGAAAAATGTAGATCTGCACAGAAAAAGGTCTGGAAGGATGTGCATTCATGCATTCAGTCCCAGTTTTTCAAGCCTGTGGCTATTTCAGTGATGTAACATAACCCGTATTTAGGGTCACCATGAGTGGCATACTGGCTGTCCGGCTGCAGCCTTTCTGGGTGTCCCGTATGTGCACAGCGGGACAGTAAGGGCTAGAGGGGCAACAGGACTGTCTGAGTGGGGGAAGTGTAATGCTTCTATTTTCCTGTTGGTGCTTGTCCACTTTTCCAGACCGTCCACACTGCACTAAGCCGCTCCAGGCTCCCCGTCCCCTGCCTAGGGGTTATAATACCAAAGCAAGGAGCTAATCCCATCTGCTGCTTAAAAGCAAGTGCATTTTTTTAAGTGCTTGGTGTACAAACACGACGCCAAAGAGTCACAGGATTGTCAGCACACAGTCAAGGCAGGCAAGAGGCACAATGAAGCAAAGCACAAGGAGGACACATCTGGCTACATAGGCATCATTCACCCTTCAAATCAAACCTGGCCTACCCACTACTCACGCAGAAAAAGGAAGAGCCTAGCGCGTAGCGTGTGTAACTTAGGCTCCCGGGCCCAGGCTGGGCTCCTTGCCGGCTACGCCTCCGGAGTGCTGGGGGTGGCGTTGGGCTCCATATCCTCCTGGGGAGGCACGGCCAGGGCTTCCTGCGCGGCCAGGGCTTCCCGGACCTGGCTGCTCAGGACCGCGTCGTGGATGCTGTAGAAGAGCAGCTCCCGCAGGGCGGGATTCTCGAAGAATCGGTTTTGAGTGAGGTCGGTCACGACTTGGGCTAGAACAGAAAGGGAAAGAGGGAAAACCAGTCAGCCCACTCGCTCTCACTTTGAAACAAAAGCCACAGCCTCACCGAGCTGTTAGGGAAACTGCCCTTGGCGTCTCACCCCAGTCCCACCTTTGTCGTGTCACATCCCCACTCTGAGGGACAACGCAGGCGTTCTTCCTGAACTTCTCGAGGCAAATGTAAGTACATTTAAATATTATTTTCATCACTTGCGTGTCTCAGAAGGTTTCCAAAGAATTCACAGGAATTAAAAAAAACAGATTCTACTTGCATTTTGAAACACATTTGGCATCCAACAAAGAACTTAGCTTTCAATTCAATTTCCAACGAAACTTTTGAACTCCCCTTGAAGTTATTTTGTAATTATTCTACCTCTTATTTGTTGCATAAGCCATGCTATTGTATAGAGGTTCCTGTTTGTTTCAAAGATTTGATTTTTTTTAATTAGAAAAGTTAGATAGGGCCCGGTGCTGTGGCCTAGTGGCTTAAGTCCTCGCCTTGAACGCGCTAGGATCCCATATGGGCGCCGGTTCTAATCTTGGCAGCTCCACTTCCCATCCAGCTCCCTGCTTGTGGCCCGGGAAAGCAGTCGAGGACGGCCCAAAGCTTTGGGACCCTGCACCCGTGTGGGAGACCCGGGAGAAGTTCCTGGATCCTGGCTTTGGATTGGCATAGCATCGGCCATTGCGCTCACTTGGGGAGTGAATCTTTGGACGGAAGATCTTCCTCTCTGTCGCTCCTCCTCTCTGTGTATCTGCCTTTCCCATAAAAAAAATCCTAAAAAAGTAGATAGAAGGAGAAATAGAAAGATCTTCTTTTGCAGGCCCACTCCAGGTGGCCACAACAGGTGGAGCTGAGCTGAACCAGAGCCAGAAGCCGCTTCCAGGTCTCCCATGGGCATGCAGGGTCATACGGGTTTGGGCCGTTCTCCCTTGCTTTCCCAGCCACAAGCAGGGAGCTGGATGGGAAGCGGGGCTGCCAGGATTAGAACTGGCGCCCATATGGGATCCAGGTGCGTGCAAGGCGAGGACTTTAGCCAGGCCCATGTCTTGTCTTTTTATGACGTGTTGTGATGACTGACTACATACGTGTGTGCTTTTGAATGTCCACAGCGTACGGTGGGTATTGCGGGGAAGGGGACAGCGTTGTTCCCTTCCAAGGAAAACACATTTGTTAATTTTGGAGGCTGATGCCGGTTGGCCATCTGTAGGGGGCGCTCCGTCCCGCGTTCTCCGCGGCCCTGCCTGACAGAAGCTGTCTCCCCTGGGCTGTTGCGCACTCAGGAACCACTGGCAAACATTTCTGCCAGCAGGATAGGTGCAAAGTAATGAAAGAAAAAAAAAAGTGCCAGAGCTGGTCCTGGCGCCCACTCACCGCTGCAGCCTGCCAAGTAGACGTAGATGCCAACATCTCCGTACTCCTTCACGATCTGTAACAAGGAGCAGGTGCTTTAAGGTGCCCGGCCCGGGCTGCGTGACAGTCTACTAACAGGCGTGTGTATCTGAGTGACACGGACATTCTGGGGACTCATCCGCTTTGTAATAACCACACATCATCGGCTAAAGTCAAAAAGAACTGTGTTTCTTCTGCTTTGAGCCAGGACAAGGGAGAAGTTGAGGGGGGTTACCAAAAAGGTTGCCATCTTCCAGCGGGGTGCGAAGGTGGCAGGGGTTACAGCAGGACCTGCCTCCCTCCAAAACGCCTCGGAGAAGTGGGGACCGGACGCCCTCATGATGATGGCTGATGGGGTAAGTAAAAGGCAGAGGCTCATGCTGGCATCCGGGAGGCAGGCGGGGCTGCTGCTGGCTGTGCCCTCGGAGGGTGGGCACTGATGGTCTGAGCGTAAGCTCTGCTCGCGGTTCTGTCTCTACTTTCACGCCCGCCATGTGTTCCCCCATCTGCCACCATGAGCTGCTGCGCGACCACCCAGAGGTGGGGCTGCCTCTTCCTGCGCGCTCTGCTCGCAGGCAGGAGCTCAAAGAAGCCTTTTCCTTCTGGGGAAAACATCCTGAGCTGCAGAGTGATACACAGAAGCTCTGTGGTCCCTCTGTCTTAGCGCGTCATTTATAGATGGATCCCAGGGCACCTAAGACGGGATGACAGAGCTGGGCTTCTGAATGGGACAAGGACGGGGGTGGGGGCAGCAGAGAGACCCAGAGAGACCACACTTGCCACATCGTTGAAGCTCACCGACCCCTCTATAAGGATCCCTCCCCCTTAGCTGGCCACTGTGGTACATTTTAGAGATTCTCCATAATGGAAGAGCCAAGAACAGTGACAAGGAAGGGGGGGAAGTGGACAAGGCAGGCTCGTTGGTTGGGCCGGGGTCGGGCACCGGGACCTTGGCGGCACGCTCGCGGGTGGCTTACCCCCGCCAGGGTCTTCACGCCCACGGAGTCGATGAAGTTGACCTGCGTGAAGTCCAGGATGATGGTGTGGACGTTGTCGCGCGGGGGCATGAAGCGCTGCAGCTCCTCCGGGAACGTGCTCTTGACCACGATGGGAGGGAATTTCACCTCGCCGTCGTCCTCGTCGGGCTTGGCGGCATTTTCCCCGTCAACTTCTGCGTCCTGGGCCATGGTTGGACACAAGCAAAGCTCCAGCAGCAGTTTACATTCGGGGGTGTTGCGAAAAAAAACACCACTTCACAGCGGAAAAGCTGGTCTGAAGCCAGGAGCTTCTGCTGGGTCTTCCTCATGAATACAGGGGCCCATGGTCCTTGGGCATCTTCCACTGCTTTCCCAGGCCATAAGCAGGGCGCAGGATGGAAGTGGAGCAGCCAGGACTCGAACCAGTGCCCATGTGGGATGCCAGTGCCACAGGCAAAGGATTAACTTGCTTTACCATTTGTGCTTGGCTCAAAATCTTTGTTCTGATGACAACATTCATGAAGGGATGGTATAATTTTGCAAGACTTTTTTAAAAAAATTATTTGAAATGTAGAGCGACAGAATGACAGAGTGATATGAAGTGGGGGGCACTCTGGTATTGGATTTGATTTTCCCTAGTGGTAGTTTAATTAACCACATTTTAATTTTTTTTAAAGCAACAATTTTTACTCCTCTCCATACCATCCTCTTAATTGACCTCATCAGGTGCATTTGTTATTAAAGTGTACTTGGGTGGACCATCTCTAACTTTTTCTGGCTCAGGCACTTCACTCTGTGTTTAATTCTGGACTGTGAATAAAAGGACAACAGCAGGGCCCAGCGCGGTAGCCTAGCAGCTAAAGTCCTCGCCTTGTACATGCCGGGATCCCATATGGATGCTGGTTCGTGTCCTGGCAGCCCTGCTTCCCATCCAGCTCCCTGCCTGTGGCCTGGGAAAGCAGTCGAGGACGGCCCAAAGCCTTGGGACCCTGCACCCGTGTGGGAGACCCGGAAGAGGCTCCTGACTCTTGGAAGATCTTCCTGTCCTCCTCTCTATATATCTGACTTTCCAATATAAATAAATAAATAAATAAATAAATAAATAAATCTTAAAAGAAAAACAAAAAGGACGATGGCCATGAGAAGGCCACTCACCGGTTTGACCATGATGGCGCTGACCATGTTCACATTTCCGACTTCCTTCGCGTACTTGCGCATGGCCTTCCTCCTGGCGCCCATGATGACCGCTGGGTCCACGCCGGTCTTCCCACAGGGGCAGACAGACAGACACCAAGTCACTGCACAGCCCCCGGAGGCTGACCCACACGCCATTCCATCTGGAGCTTTCCCTCCAAGCTGCTGTCCATGCCACTTGCTCTGCCTCCCCCTCCGATGTCTTGAGCTCAGTCACACACACACAGAAAAAACAAGCAGAAAAAAGCAAGAGTGGCAAGCGTGGCAGTGGAACTGTGCGCTGCTTTCTCCATGCGGGCTCAACAGCGATAACGCCTGCTGCTACTGCGCCTGGTCTGGGGCAGCACCAGGGTCTGGGAACTGAACTCAGGTCTCACACGGTGCGAGGGACCCAAGGACCTGGGCTGTCCTTGGCTGCTTTTCCAGGTGCCTGAGCAGGGGGCTGAAGTGGCACATTTCCAGCCGTTGTGGTCACTTGGGGAGTGAATCATCAGACAGAAGATCTTCCTCTCTGTCTCTCCTCCTCTCTGTGTATCTGCCTTTCCAATAAAAAAAAAAAAATACATTTTTTAAAAAAAAGTTTACGGGAAGGGGAGCTAAAAGAAGAATTTTCTTTGGTGCAAAAAAAATATCCAATTACCTAAGCAAGTCTTCAGAGAGTTAAAGGGAAATTTATATTGTGAAATTTGTATCATGTTCAAATTTTGATAATTTTGGCCCCAGAACATACTTCTGTTTTCATTCCATTTTTGGTCTTGTAAGAGAGGGGAGTGGTAATGACGGTGTCACATCACGCGAATACAGTTTGTGTTACTCTTTGGGGTTTGCATTTGAAAATCTTTAAAACAGAGACATTCAACAATTACGTGTGTTTTACCATAAGAGAAAAGGTGAGGGAGCGGGGCCGGGAACGGCAGGAGGGAAAAGCCCAGCGAGAATGAGAGAGGGTGAACAGAGACAAGGTCCCCACATTCTGATCAGGCCAAATCCCGGCGCTGGAATCACACACACACACACACACACACACACACACACATGCGCGCGTGCGTGACTCACCTTTCTCTTTAGCGCGTTGCTATACAAGTCGCTGTTGGCGTAGTAAATTGGGGCGTTTATTTGGAAGATTTTTATTCCGGGAATTTCTTTGATCTGAGGAGTGAAAGCATAGGTGTCACCTTAACACCCGGCCATCTTTCAGACTCAGAGCTGCCGTGGGCTCCCCCTTCCTGCGGTTTGAAAGCGCATGCTAAGTAGTTCTGGGCTGTGTTGGGCAGAGAGACCATCGTGCAGGAAACCTTGAAAAACTGGGCCATCATGCGCCAGGAAACACAGAAGGAAGAGAAAAACACGAGGGTGCTTCCAACTCCTGTTTGAATCCCACTTTGTCCACGAGGTGCTTGGAGCATGCTTGTATTCCACCAGGGGAAGGAAGGGGTTGGGGGATTGGGAAGCCTGTGGGTCAAGGTCAAGGTGGCAGAGCCACAGCCGCACTGGCTCACAGGCTGCAGGGAGGAGTCTGCAAGGAGCAGGTGCACCGAGCTCCCAGGGCGCAGTGTGGGAACCAGTGACCCAGCACCTCGTCCTTTGCACTGACAAAAGAGCAATGACAAACTGGTGAGAGGAACCCTGGCAAGGCCCTCCACAGCACTCGGCAGAGCAAATGGGAACAAAGGATAGCTCTGAAAGGTTTTGTTTGCGACAGTCTTCGAGAGTCCACAGAAGTGAACATCCAGAGCTGTGGCAACAGGGAGGCGCTGCTCAACTAGGACCAAACAGAACGCAGGGACAGCGGCACTGTCCCACCACTCACAGTTCCACTGGGTTGGGACTTGTCAGAAAACCGTGCACACGCACGCCACATCTCAGCCTTTGCAGATATCTCTTTTAATTCTATGCTGTGTGATTTTCCACCCATTTATAAATGGGGGGAAAAAAACAACATTGGGAGGTTGGGTTGGGCATGCACCATGACGCAGAACACTCAATCCTGGCGGGCAGTGGAAGCTCCCACTTTGCGCTTTGAGCACTAGCTCCGTGTAAACGCGCAGCTCTGCCAACCACACACCACACGCTTACCGCCTCTTTAAGCCACCAAGGAAGGTCCTACCTCCTCAAACGCGTCTATGTCAATATACACGTCAGTTTCGGGAAGTTGTCCAAGGACTTTGTAGCTCGGACTGGAGACAGAGAGAGCGTTAAGCCACCCCTGCGGCATGGCACCGCATGTGATTTAGGCGTGGCAGCTTAGCAAGCCTAATATGTCACGCGTGGGTTCCCTGGCGGGCAGGAAACACTAGATCCTCGTCTGGGGCCTGTATAGAGGACGCCCTCGCCCCACGCACATGCCCAGTGCATCATATCACTGCCGGGAGGTTTGGTGGGATGCTGGGATCCCTCTGGCTGTGGAGCTGACTTCCACAGGTGCAGCTTATACCATGCAGAGGACGGATGGGTCCCCCTGGCCACGTCCAAGGCCTTGAGACCCCCATTTCTTCAAGAACAAACATCACTGCTCCCAGAAAAGGCTCAGTCCTTGTAAGTTCCTTAATGACATCAGGGACAAGAAAACCCCCTTTTGTGGAATCCCATAGGCTTTTCTTGGGGGCGTCTGCCATGTGCATCATCCACAGGCTGGCACACCCCTCTGGGTGTAATATGGATTACAAAATGCTGGTGGGGGCACAGGCTAATGTCCATCACGTTCCTGGCACCCACGAGCTCTTTGCCAAAGCGGAGTGCTCGTCTCCACACTCATCATGTTCTAACGGGAGCTGAGCATCTGCAGTGGAAGCTCAGAGCCAAGGCCCCAGCACCCAGCTCCGCAAGGTGCCCTGCTTTCAGCTGGAGGAGCCAGTGGCATGGGAACAAGTGTCCAAGTGCTGGAGTTCCAAGACCCGGCCGAACGGCCAACAGAAAACAGAACCCCAAACACTCACCGGTTGTTGTTAACTGCTCGAGGGAGAAAGACACAGCATTTAAAAACAAAAACTATGTCCAACTTAAAAATTTGTGATCTGAAACCATAAAACTATTCAGTAAAGAAAACAGAGGAATTTTAATTTTTTTTTAAAGATTTATGTATTTATTTAGCGCCAGCCTTTGTGGATGGAAGCTCGCTGTCTCAGCTCCTTCAAATGAATAAATCGATCTTTAAAAAACATGATATGCACCAATGCTGTTGTTTCCCAGGGTACCCGGGGTAGTGAGCTTGGTCAGAAGTCAGACATGGGACCGCAGCCCTCCGACACGCCCAGGCTTCCGCATCATCTTCCTTTGAAAGATTTATCTCTTTTGATTGGAAAGGCAGATTTACAGAAAGAAGGGGAGACAGAGGGAGAAAGATCTTCCATCCGCTGATTCACTCCCCAAGTGGCTGCAATGTCCAGAGCTGAGCTGATCTGAAGCCAGCAGGCAGCAGCCTCTTCTGAGTCTCCCACGTGGGTGCAGGGCCTCAACACTTTGGAACATTTTCGACTGCTTTCCCAGGCCACAAGTAGGGAGCTGGATGAGAAGTAGAGCAGCCGGGATATGAACCAGTGCCCATATGGGATCCTGGCACATGCCAAGGTGAGGACTTTAGCCACTAGGCTACTGCGCCAGGCCCATGCCTGGGCTTCTTAACTGTGTCATCCTGTTAGGCTTAATATCCACTGCGGATATGTAGAAATCATAATGACTTCTCTGTACTAAATTGGGGAAAACTCCTCTCGGGGACCCAAGGGCAGCAATGTCCGACCTTGGGATAAAAGTCACTTCTTATTCTGAGTTTAGAACCATGTATCTTCTCAACGCTTTTCTGTCCTTTTTGGAGATGAAAACACCCATTTTCTCTCTGGGGGAGCAACTCCAATTCCAACCCAGCTCCTTGCTGGTGCCCTTGGCAAAGCAGCAGATGAGGCCTACATGCCTGGGCCCCTGACACGTCTGTGGGAGACCAGGATGGAGTTCCAGGCTCCTGGCGCAGCCCTGGCGCAGCCCTGGCACAGCCCTGGCACAGCCCTGACCCAGCCCTGGCTCAGCCC